TTTGCACAACCTCTTAAAATTACTTCCTAAACCACTGCTCTCTTACCTTGGACAGTTTGGGCCAATCCCAGAGTCCTCTGCACATTCCTGCAGATTTTCTCCAGACAGACCTGGAACTCCTCATCACAGTCGTGTTTCTCCCGGCCACAGGTGTCATAGCAGCGGTCATGTTGGTTACAACATTTGGTCATGGACGGGATGCCAACATCAAACTGGATGAACACATATCAGTTACTCAGCAGCTGTTGGTTATACGCACGTTTTGGACTTGACTAGAGAAGGACACTACCAGAATGAGATGCACTCTTCTGTAAATGTAAGTTATAGTACTGCAGTTCTGTGCTCTGTTGCTGAAGTTAATTCAATTAACTGTATTAATTAAGTTGATTAAACATGTTTCTACAGCCTTGTTCATCATCTACAGACCGCTCCAGCAATATTCTGTTAGTTTCTGGTTTGACCCGCTGTGGTCAGAAACCTTTGGATTTCTGGTCAACTCTCTGTCCAGGAACTTTGAATTTTACTGTGAATATTTTCAAAGACTTCCTTGGATTTCAGCGTGTATTATGGTATCTTTTATACACTGGTGTTTGTGTCATATAGATTAAATTTGAAACACGAGTTCTTCTTCTATCTCAAGGATTATTACATGACATTTATTAAGTGCATATTATGGGAACAAAATGCCAATTTTAGCCATTTAAGAATAAATGTACAGAACTTTAACGTGTGCAAAAAGTGAAGTGAATACTGGAGCTAACACTGCCAATAATACTGACCTAGGCAGTTTAGCTACATTTTAAACAAACTGCAGCTTGTACTATGGACTTGCGTGTGTATTTCTGTGTGTAAACTCAATGTATTTAAATAAGACAAATAAAATGATATACAAAATGATGCCCTTCAGCATGCTGGATGCACATGGCAACACGCTTTGAACTACCTGAATTCCAAACAGGGGGGAACCACATCCGTTGGGCGGTGGATTTTTGTACCCGGGACGAGGCACCGGCTTGTACCCTTTGAGACAGGAGCAAAGTTGATTAGATTTCTTACTCTTCAACTATCTGTTATCTTGCAGTCAGAGGTTACATGTTTACAGATAATTAAAAAAGGCTAGCGGTGCCAGAGATAGTGCTGTGCAAATGTCTTGAAACACCCCTCATTTCTTTATATTTTAATTTCAATAACCCAGACTTTCTTGTCATTTTTAAAGTGGTCTCAAGCAATAGTTCTCCAGCCTTTCTGAAAGTCTTTCAAAGGTCTTTCTGCTTTTTCATTCATCTTGAGTCCAAGCCTTGGACCTGGCCATTTTCACCAGTCACGCAAAAAAAGGGTCTTAACTCAAAAAAAGAGCAAAAAAAAGAAGCTTAACTTAGCAAAGAACCACCATATGAAACTGTATTTTTAGTCTCTTTGTTGCAAAAGTACAACAGGCTTCTGTCCCATTACTATAATTGAATCTGTGAAAATGCTAAAGACAACACAGCTTGACAAGTATATGATTGTATTTTTAATATCCATAAGTTGAATCCCAAAGAGCTATTAGCTAAAAACCAGTATGGTGTTCAAGGAATCCTTAAAAAACAATTGGGGAAACTCAACAAGTGCAGGACAGAAGAAGTAGTGGCACGCATGAAAAAGCCTCTCTACAGCTGATGTACAGTATCTAAAAAGTTTTTGCTATTTTTAAAGGACATAACTAGCACAGGACCTGAGAGATACATCTTGCATCAGCTGACCATCTATTGTTTGCTGAAGCCTCATCTAAAACTGTCTCAGCTGAATAATGCCTGTCAAGAAGCCAATCTTAATTAAGGGAAACAGGAAGAAAAGGCTGTGGTACGCCAAAGTACACAAGACCTGGACTGAAAATTAGTGGGAACAGGTCTCGTGGAGTGAAAAATCCAAGTTTAAATGTTTTGGGTGTCAATACATACAGAGGTGGTCAGGAAAGAGGTACATCAGGGAGTGTCTACAACCATCAGTACAACAAAGTGGAAGCTCTTTGAGGATGTTTTTTAGCCAGTGGTGTTGTGTCTTTTCGAAACTGATGGAAATATGCAGTAAAGTGCCATCACATTTTGACCCACCATGCATTATAATCTGGAAAGAGTCTGATTGGCAATGCAGTACCAATTTAGTAAAGCATACCTGGTTAGAAAAACACAGTGTAAAAAAATCAGTCATGGATTGACCTCCTCAGATCCCGGATGTCAAAATTATTGAAGCAGTGTGGGATCATCTTGACAGAGAACAAAAGGAAAGGCCAACATCCGGAAAAGAGCTTTGAATGTCTTTCAAGAAGCCTGGACAAACATTCACAAAGACGACCCAAAGAAATTATAAGAAAACTTATCTAAGAGAGTTCAGGCTGTGTTCAAGAATAATGCAGGTGATACCAAATTATGTTTTTGCGTTGTATACTGTATTTCCATGTATGTTTGCACATGTTTCAATTCATTCATTTCTGCATTTACTTCTCATTCTTTTCATAAGAAAGTATGAAGAGATGAGGGTTGTTTGAGACTTCTACATAGGACTGGAGATGGTCGCGCCAACTATTAAATTAACGCAAATCCTTTTCAAGCTGATCTAAGAGAAAGTTGTGGCATAAATAATTAATTTACAAGCCTGACTAATAACAGGGAAATTCCTAAATTACACACTCTAGATGTCATGAGCCAATAATTACTTTAATAAACCCATTCTTAACTTGGAGAAAGAGCTTGAAAGCTGGAGTAATGACCTAGCTTACCATCAGTACATCTGTAATGACACAGTCCGTCATCCCCACCAAACAAGTCCAGTGCTGCATTCAAGTACGTGTCAATCTTGTGGATCCCGTTGCGAATGGTTTTTAGAGTCATCCTCCAGTCTGGAGTCTCCGGCTCGTGGTTGCTAGCAGACACTCGTGAAAAATATCCGCAACAGCAGAAACCCAACAGAAAGACACAGATGTAGCTGGGGTACTTCATGGTCTACTTATCGTCAGGGCCAAAAAGCAGCGTTTTCTTGCACATTGGTTTTGATTTATTCCTAAATACGTTGTCTTGATAGCATTTTAACTGTCACACTAGCTTGTTTTCATTCCGAAAACACATAGGTGGCATGAGCTATGATGTCGTTTCCGGGTTTGGTGGTGTCACGTGACCTCTGGTAAACAAATTATGGTGACGTTACAATAAAGAAAAAGTGCGCTGTCTATATTAGTGATGAGATTTCCGGCTCTTTTTAGAGAACCGGCTCTTTCGGCTCGACTCACTAAAAAGATCCGAATCTTCAGGTTGTTTTGTTGCTTTAATTAATTTATTATTAACAACAATATAAAATTATGCAGAAAAGGAATTACTAATGTAAAAAAAGAACAACGTGGTTTTATTTATATATGTTTATATATAAATATATACGGTGGCCCCTAGAGACAAAGCAGTACAAACTCCAAAGCACATATATATTCAAATAATTTAAAAAAAAAGTTCATTTACCTGTTACTACCACACACCAAATCCGGTCGTTGGTACTTCCTGGCTTGTGTGGCCACTAGGTAACAAAAGCTCAACACTGCCCCTAGCATCCTGGAGCACTTCTGTTGTGTTTTGTACGTGATTCGGAGTTTTTACGTGCTTCGTTGCTAGGGGCCACCGTAAATATACTTTTATTTATTCACTCCACATAAAATGTAGTAAATAAATCATATAATACAAAAAATAACTATTTAAATTTCAAATTTTAACTATTAAAATTTTCAGCTTTTTCCTTTTAAACAAATTTAAAGTGAAACAACATAAAACAACACAATTAAATATAAATATGAAAAAATATGAAAACAAAAAGAAGATGCACATTCTCTGTCATATGGGCCTGCATGAATAAACTTTCTGAATCCTTTATCATCCGCAACTGAAAATAGTTATGGATGATTACTATACCTTTCTAATGTGAAGTTGTTGTCCCTGGGTCTCTTTCTCTCCTGCGCTACTGCGAGTGTCTCTACCGCACAAGGCTCGCTTGCGGAGTGAAGCGGAAAAAAGTGCGAAAGAAAGGGTGAGAGAAAGAAAAAAAAAAAAACCACGGCTCCAAATAAGGAGCCAGCTCGCGTTGTTCACTTCAAAGATTCGGCGACCGACACATCACTAGTCTGTATCGCCATCTCTAGTCTCTATCGCTATCTCTAGTTCGGTCCAGGACCAACGTTCGAATTTATGTAATTTAAATGTTATAGAAATGTTAAAATAATATTTTTTAACTATGTTTCGTAACGTACCTTCGCCTTACGTCACAGCAGACTGTAGTACCAACTACTGGTAGAAACTCTGCTATTACACATACTTCTGAAATAACGTAAAATAAAATGCACTCATGGGCTTAATATAATTAATTAAAAAAATATTTTACATAATTATATGTGCAAAGTATACAAGAGCTCAGCATGGTCTGCACAACACCTCAAACGTTCATGCAAATAGCCTACAGCAGCAGAAGACCACAGCAGGTGCCATTCCTGTCACATAAGCACAGGAAACTGTGCCAATAATTTTCACAGAGTCACCAAAATGACAAAAACATTGCCTGGTCTGATGAATCCAAATTTCTGCAGCAGCAGCATTTGGATGGTAGGGTCAAGAATTTAGTGTAAACAAAAGCATATATTATTACTATATTTTCTTTGCACTCCCTTAGTGCCAACTACCACAGCCTACTCGATTACCTGTTGCAGACTGTGTGAAAATATTGGGAGCAACCAGATTGTAGCTAGTCTACATCTTTCACAGAACTAGGCCCAGTGCAAATCTGAGGTACCGGTCAAACGCCTGACTGGTTAAGCTTACTGTCAGTTGTGAAATACATATGTACAAAATTAACATTAACCATTAAATTATGTGAGGAAAAAAATAGATCCATTAAAAGTACACACCACTTGATATATGAGAGGAGGTTTTTGTGTAATTTAAACCAACTTACTTTTACTCATAATACAAAGACAGTTTCCTTCAGGATATGTTAATAATTTGATTTTATTTAAATGATCAGGCGAGCATTGAAGAAAAATCCTTTTCCTTCTATAGTTACTTAAATAACTGCATAAACTTTAAACATTCAAAAATGAAAATGTACAACCAGTTATGAGTAACAGTTTCACTGTCCGTTCATCTTTAGTTCCAACCAAAGTCACATATTAGACTGGACGATATAAAATGTTTTCTAGTAGCAAAGTCAGTGATGACTCTTCATGATCCAGGGATCTTCATCCACAGGTGGAGGTGAGTAAGGAGCCAAGACAAGCATTCGCTCTCCCTCTTTTTTTTCTTAAATGTGATTCTTGAAGAAACGGATTTGTGTGTGGGGACAACACTTCCAGGTGAACTTATTGTTTCCCATTTGATGTTTATGACAAGCAGATGATGCCAGAAGCAGCTTGTTGGTCTAACAACATTAATTTGCTTGTGCAGAATGCCTCTCAGGTTGTCACTACTCAAAGCGCACATGCCTTTTACAATCAAGTGTCCTTTTCTTTCCCATTGTAAGGAAAACACACTTAAATAAGAGTTGTTTTTTTCTTTGTTTGTTTGTTTGTTTTTTTTTTAAAGAAAAACATCTGAGACGTTCTATATTGTGTGTAGATTGGTCAATTACAACATAAGGCGATTCCAAGGGCCAAAGTGGAATGTGGAATGAGGAAAAAGAAAGGTTAGGAGGAGGATGAGAGTAGGAGGGGGAGAAAAGCACAACAATAGAGCTAAATTATATCTTCAAGTGCCCTAAAGTTTGAAGAATCTTCATAAAAAAAATGAACATACATATCTATTCATACAGATTTACAAGACCTAAAAGCATCCATTTCATCCACCTCTGAAGAGGTTATTTAGTCTGTCCAACTCCCTGCAGTTATCCATGGTCATGAGTTCTGCCTTCTTGCGCATTCGCTCATCCCGGTATACCTTAGCGGCGTAAAGCAGGTCTGTTTCTGGATGAGACGGGGGAAGAAACTGTGTCACATTTTTTCAAGAGCACAAACTATTCTGAGTATGAATTTATAACTGTGGTTACTTACTCGTCTGTCTCTCCTTCCAACAATTATTTCTGACATTTGATACATAGTCCTCCTCTACATTTTTCTCAATTTGCTGCAGTGCTGAGCCCTTAAACTCTGACTTGAAATCTCTGGTGACGTAGTAGTCAACATGCAGGTTTTCTGTTTGCCTCTTTATGGTCTGACCTGTTGACCTGGAGGAGATGGGAGGCACAAGCTTAGGTAAAAAATTCTTAACAACAGCAGCAATTTCCACATATGGTGACACATTTTGTTTCAAAACTCTAAGAAGACCACAACACAATTAAATGTAAATATGAAAAAATATGAAAACAAAAAGAAGATGCACATTCTCTGTCATATGGGCCTGCATGAATAAACTTTCTGAATCCTTTATCATCCGCAAC